GAGCTGTCTTTACTCAGTTTGACAGCTTTATGAATCAAAGATGGCTTGTCATGTGAGTTTTGCAGCTGAAGTTGAGGTTGCTCCGTCCTGTTTCTACATTTGTTTTCCTTCTGCTTCTGTTTTAATCCTCATGTGAGAAAATGTGTTTCTGAAGCAACATTTTTTACCCTATAATCAGACGAAATACACTGTCTTTTGGAGTACTGCTGAAAATTAGAATTTATGTTATTCCGCTTTGCACAACTAAAATTTGCTAAGAATATTACAAAATGCTCCTCTTTACTCAACTAATCAATTGCCCGGAACCACATAAAAGCCATTCTCATGGCCAAGGAATTTGAATGATGAGTTTCAACATTCTTATCACTCGTGTTGAGTGACCTGAATCCTTATTCTTGTATAAATGAAAATAAGACAGCTTATCTATGTGCAGATTTACCTGTCTCTAATCCTCTTTTCTTTTCTAGTTCACCTTCCTATTAGAATGTTTGAAAGTTTTTGAAAGTGGCAAATAGGCATACAAATTAGCCCTTGTGGTCTGACTTCAAAGATGAAAAAATTAGTGAAAAACCTGTAAGCAATGGTTTTACCCTATCTTTCAGATAGAATAGATTGCCTTTATTATAAACAAGGGTTTCTTTCTGACTAATGTGATTGACAATTTTGGAAAAAAGAATAAGGGTATAAATTTCCATGATCAGCATGATATAGAACCTAATATATAAATAGAATAGGTTAGAAGACAGTGCATAGTTAATCATATTGATATTTTTCTTGTAACATGATTGTAAATGATTTATTTTCTTCTTTCTTTTTGTGTATTCTTTATTTTCTTTTTTAACTTTTATTTAATAAATATAAATTTCCAAAGTACAACATTTGGATTATAGCGGCTTTTTCCTCCCATAACCTCCCTCCCACCCGCAACCATCACATCTCTGCTCCCTCTCCCATCCCATTCACATCAAGATTCCTTTTCAATTATCTTTACATACAGAAGATCAATTTAGATAATACTAAGTAAAGATTTCAACAGTTTGCACCTACACAGAAACACAAAGTGTAAAGTACTGTTTGAGTACTAGTAATACTGTTAATTCTCATAGTACAACACATTAAGGATAGAGATCCTACATGGGGAGTAAGTGCACAGTGACTCCTGTTGTTGACTTAACAAATTGACACTCATATTTATGATGTCAGTAGTCACCCAAGGCTCTTGTCATGAGCTGCCAGCTGCCTCTTGAGTTCGCCAACTCCGATCTTATTTAGACAAGGTCATAGTCAAAGTGGAAGTTCTCCCCTCCTGTATTCTTTATTTTCTATAATAATCATTTAATACTTTATTTATTATGTTCTATAGAAACGTGACATTCCACCAATGTAGAATGAACGCTGAACATTTTAGCTGCAGATTAATAGTCATCCACAATCAGGTTCTAACCTATCTGCTCACAACTCTATTTCATTATTAATCCATGCACAATTTTTACTCTGATAAAAAAGTAAGCCTTTGGGACAGGTGTTTGGTACAGTGGTTAAGATGCCACTTGGAACACTGCATTCCATCCCAGAGTGCCTAGATTTGAGTAACTGCTCTACTTCTGATCCACCTTCCTGCTAATGTGTGGTTCGGGCATCAGCAGAAGATGATTCAAATAGTTAAGTCACTGCCACTCATGTGAGAGACCTGAATGAAGTTCTGGGCTCCTGGCTTCTTCCTGGCCTAGCCCTGGCTATTGTGGGGATTTGTGGAGTGAACTAGGGGATGGAAGATCTATATATGTCTCCCTGCCTTCCCCTTATCATTGTGGTTCAAATAAATAAAAATAAACAAATAAAACTTTTTTTTAAAAGTAACTCTTTAGCATTTTCCATATAGACCCTAACTTTCTCAACTTTTCAGTTTTTCATTCTGTCCTTGGATTTTCCTCTGTGTCAAAATTATCAAAAGCTCACCTCATCCATTGCTTTATCTGTGGTTTTCCAAAGTAAACACCTTCTGTTTAATTCCTGTGCAATTTCTTATAACCTTCTATCATTCTTTTTTTTCTCCCTTCCTTCTTTATTTTGAAATAGCTAAGTTTGTCACTTATTTTTCTAAATTTCTCTTTTTAAATTTTATTTCCAACTCTACAGGTCTTCCATCTGTTGGTTCACTCCCCAAATGGCCACAATGGCTGGAGCTGAGCTGATCCAGAGCCAGGAGCCAGGAGCCAGGAGCCAGGAGCTTCTTCCAGGTCTCCTACAGGGGTGCAGGGGCCCAAGGGCTTGGATCATCTTCTGCCATTTTGCAAGGCCATAGGAGAGAGCTGGATAGGAAGAGGAACACCAGAACTAGAACCAATGCTCATATGGGATGCTGGTGCTGCAAGTGGACGCTTAGCCCACTATTCCACAGTGCCAACCCCCAAATCTACATTCTTAGTTTGGACATTCTGAAGCATTTAAGAATCAGACACTTGAAAAATTGCTTAAAGAGTGATTCTATCAGCTGGATGGAGTAAGAATTGTACATTATCATGTCTTATTACTCATGGAGAAGCTTAATAAACAGGAAAACAAATGTGGGAAGTTGTCATGTAGAATGTTACCTAGACTAGCTGCCAGCATTTGATTGTAAGTTTGGACCAGATTGAACAGAAACTTAATTTTAGGCTTCTGATCCCTGGAAAATCAGATATATAAAACCAGCCATATCTCACCCATGCATATATGTAGCTATATAACAAGTGATTGTTTCATGAAAAGTAATTTTCATTTTTGTGCCCATTTTTCATAAATATTTCATATTCCCCTCTACATGTGTATTATTGTCTTCCTTATCTCCATCCCTCCTTACATTCTTCCCTTTCTTCTACCCACTTGCTCTTTGAGTTACCTATTCCTTTTCATTAAGGCATTGTCTTTTAAAATTTAATCAGCAAAATGCAGTTAACTATCTCTTACACGGTCAGAAAACCCCTTGGTTCTACAATTCTAGTTTGGGTATTCTGAAGGCATAGGAATGACCATTTTAAGTATGTGCCTTCAATTTATTATTTTTATTAGAAAAACTAGAAACAATAGATTGAATCTTTGCCCATGTGCATGATTTCTGAATTTTCTGAGTTTTAATTTACCTGTTTGATTTTGTGAAGAGCTAGAAACTTTCATTCATAATTTAATGTATTAATTACTTCTCTAAGCAAGTTTAAGGTACCTACTGTATGCCAATTTCTATGCTAAGTAGTAGGAATACAGAATTAAATGATTTCTGATCTGTCCCCTTGAGTAATTTATAGTAAAATAGGGTAGAAAAATAAGTAGACTCTTAGAGTACAGTTCTGAGGGAAAATACAGTATCAGAGGCAGGTACAAGGTACCATTGAGGAATAAGCAATGATGTCTCTTGAGATCTAGCAAAGATGTCTCAGGAAAGTCTCTGAAACTGTTTTAAAAGAGAACAAAGTTCTACTCCACAAGCTTTTATTTTTATCTCAAGAACAACATAGTCAACTCTGCTAATTATATTTGAATAATAGGGAAAATAACCATGATATCTGTCAAGATTTCATCTAAATTTTACATGTTTTATAAGTTACTGTACTAGAGAAAATTCATTAAAACAGGTGCTTACCTTTGGTGTTTAGCCACCTGCCAAGTGGCCATCAGGCATCTACTAGGTACCTCCCATTATAGGACTCTTCTTACCACTAAGGAGTCCTGCTTCATCTTTTATACATACTGGATGAAATCACTACAGTGTTCATTAAGAAATAAACAAGAAATAACTCCAAAAGGGAAACACAAAAGAGATGCAAAGAAAGAGGAGCAAAATTTAGGTTTATTAAGCACCCAAGGGCCTACCATTTTTATTTATCATTTTACTTAATTCTCACATTCATAGTGCTCTGCCTTCTAGCCAACAAATAATCAAACAAGCAAGCAAAGAAGGAAAGATCAATCAGAGCATGGTGATCTGGGAAGGGGAGGGCAGACACGGACACGTGGTGGCAGGTGGTATGCGTTAAAAAGTCTGACAAAATCGTATGCTCTGAGAATGTTAACCATCTTCCCTACACACATTCACTCTCAGCCAATGATGTGAGCGACACTCAACAAAGAAAAGGAAGAAGAAGGAAAGGAAAGGAAGGGGAAAATGAAGAGCATGAGAAAAGTGCTTAAGAAAGCTTTTCCCCGCAACGTCAAAGCAGGTACTAATTTGGACTTAAGGAAGAGGGGAAATAATTGAAAGAGAGTAAAAGAGGTGTAGGAGATAAAGGAGACTTTCCTTCTAGGGAGCAATGTGCTTCATTTCAATCCCACATGTACTTATGGAGAAGATATTTGGAGTCTATCAACAAAATATTAAGCAACCCAAGAACACACGATTTCTCCTTTCTACAGACCCTCGATCTGTTCTGTCCATGAGACGTTCCTCCTCAAGGACTAACAAATCCCACAGAAATCACTAATAAATATATCAGATCACAGACTTAGAAAACGAACTCTCCTTCCAAATTTTCTTTAGATACCATTTCCTGTATTTCAGAGTATAATAATGCAGGCTCTAGCTATTCAGTGCAGTTTTTCATTTGCTTATATTTTCCTGCATTTAATTCTTAAACATGTTCTTCCTAAAATAAAGCCACTCTTAAAAGTTCTGCACAATTCTGACTTTTTACCAGGTCAACCTTCTTCTCCCAAACACATGAACATAAGTTTTCTAGTAAATTCTAGTCAAATTTTCCAGAGGTAAAAAAAAAAAGCCCCAGTTTTCTCTTTTGCCAAGACAGGAAGCATTTCCTGGAGATTAATCACTGTGTTGCCTTACAAAATTGGGAAGGTTGAGAGAAATTACTAAAGTAGATTGTATCATCCTACTTTGAGTTTAAAAATCTTTGGAAATGGTCCTGGTGTCGTTTGGATGAAGGCAATGAGTCAAGTTGCAGATGATCTAAACAAACATTCCTACCCTATAAAAGTTGAGCTCTGGAGAGTAGATCTAGACGGAGATAGACCGAGAGCAAGGCATCAAGACAGCATAGAGCTGAGTAAAGCCAATGGAAATGAAAACTCTTCCAACCCTGCTACTGCTGTGCGTGGCGCTTTGCTCAGCCTATCCACTGGATGGAGCCTCAAGGGATGCAGACACCACCAACATGGACCTTCTTCAGGTAATTCATAGAAATAGCCATCGCAACCATGGACAGGGCCAAGTGGGAAGCCATCTCACCTTAAGGTCAAACCATTCTGTGTGTCTTAAAACAAACACACAAAAAGTGTTGAGCTTACTGTACAAGAATATTTCAAGGACAGAGAATTATAAAGTGTTGCCTGGTCTTGTATGTGAAAGTCCAACAATATTAAATGTCTTTTCATATTAAAAAAAACTTCACTGCAGAAGCAGTACTGGGGCTTGAGGCCCATGAATAACAAATCAAAGAATCTAGGAGCTATTTCTTGCTTTGGAACTTCTTTAGGTATGTTAGTCCAGTGTAATTTTATTTACATATTTATAGTGCTATGGTCATGTTTAGACCAAGGAATTTGTCTAACTTGTTCTTAGCAAGGTCCTTGCAAAAAAATACAAAGTAGAAAATTGAGAAAATTTAAACATTTTTACTTGAAATATACAATTATGTTCAAAGAGGTTTGTTTGTTTGTTTTTCTCCTTTAAGTACACAGGATAAATATCTCAATTTTTTGCTTTACTTTTCCAGCTTTGGTAACATACTACTAGGAGAGATATTTAGTCACAAAGCTAAAGTGAAGGTGAGGGAGAGATTGTAACTGAAGAATTAAATGAAATGTTTAAGTCATTAATTATTTCAGCAAACTAGAGAAATACTTGAAATAAATTAAGAAAACTGAGAAAGTGCAAAAAATTTACTATGAATAAGCAATAGCTAAGAATCTTAACAATGATCTAAAGGCTGTACCTATCTCATTAGCAATATCTGGAAAACTACTACAACCTTGAAAAAGATGTGAAACAGTTTGTTAAAAGAAAGGACAGTAGTCCTGTTGTTAAAAAAATCCAAGAAATGCAGAAGTTCCTTGGCTTGGAGGTGACAGGCAAGCTGGACTCCAACACCCTGGAGGTGATACGCAAGCCCAGGTGTGGCGTTCCTGATGTTGGTCACTTCAGTACCTTCCCTGGCACCCCAAAGTGGACAAAAACTCACCTAACTTACAGGTAATGGGTCCAAAGAGGTTTTCACATAATCCTGAAACTTTGGGCATTACAATGGCAGGTGCAAATGGTACCTTCAATTTTTCTCCTGCAGGATTGTGAATTACACACCGGATCTGCCAAGAGATGCTGTTGATGCTGCCATTGAGAAAGCTCTGAAGGTCTGGGAGGAGGTGACTCCACTCACGTTCTCCAGGAAGTATGAAGGAGAGGCTGACATAATGATCTCTTTTGGAGTCCGAGGTAAAAGCAAAACAACAAACAAACAAACAAACAAAAAACAACACTTGAAATTCATTCATTTATTTAGCATTGCTTTATTGCGAAAGTCTCAAGAAATCTTAACTACCTGTATTTCCAATAAAAATTTGTTTTTCTATTAGAACATGGAGATTTTATTCCTTTTGATGGACCTGGAAATGTTTTGGCTCATGCTTATGCACCTGGGCCAGGAATTAATGGAGATGCCCACTTTGATGATGATGAACGATGGACAAAGGATACAACAGGTTAGTCATTTAAATATCTCTCAGAATGATTCTGATGTTAATCTCCTTTTAAATTTAGAAAGTTCTTAATAACCAAAAATGTTTAAAAAATACAATGTTCTGGGTTTTTCAATGAGTCAGGAATCAGGATAATATATTTTTTGTTTTAATCATCATAAAAATATTTTTATAAGTCTAAAAAGTTTATCCTCTGTCTTGGTATACACAACAGAAGAAACTTCAGTAAGTATTGCTTTAATGATGGTGGATCTTGTGTGATCTAAGGACCATAATTATAAAGGATCTGATATCATATGCAGATACAAAGGGGTAGTGTTTGCATTGTGTATTCACTAAAGTGTGCCCTGGATATTGCTTATACAATTTCTCCCTCTACTTAACTTTTTAAAACAGAAATCAGAATTGAATTAAAGAAACTGAGATTCCCTTGTATTTTCTGGCTAATACAATATTTTATCACCCATAGGTTAAGAATAAATTTTGTTGACTTGTTCTGTAGGAAAGGAATGACCTCCAAGTACAATGTCCAAATTGTTAATGTAGAAGAATATTTTTCAGTTCATCACTGTGTACTTTGGGGAATGATTTCCAAAATTCTCAAAAATTTCCTGAATCAAGTAATACTACTTCTTGAGGTTTAATCGTGATTTGCAGTGAAAAGGTCAACACCATCTCTGCAGGAAGTACAAATGTGGGTTTACTGCTGGTTAAAATTGTTGGCTTGATTGATTTAACAGCTCCTTGCAAAGGGACCCTTCTAAAAATCTCAAATGAGAATGTTCCAAGGATCACAAATAACATAAGCAATGCTTCCAAAAGTAAAGTAGATTTATTTGTTATATCAATCATAATTCCAATGGTGTCAAATTTCAGCAGTATGTGTTTTTCAATATATATTTGAAGGAAACTGAATATAGCCAGTGTTTTTATATTTACAAAATATCTTTTGTGACCAATATTAGGCATGAATGGGCATGTATGTAACCAATCAATTTTGTAAATCCAATGACATCTATCATTAGTCATCTTTTTAGATTCAATATGTATGTAATATTGATGATGAGGCTGGAAAATTATGCAGGTAATATTCCAATGGAAAATAACCAGAATGTGATTGTTTACTGATTTCAGAACTGAAATGAACATACTGTAATTCTTCACTGAGACTACAACTGGCAAATGTTAGTACATTGAAACATTGTTTAGATTTTCATTGAAAAACAAAAAAAATTATTAATAAACAAGTGGGTTCATTTCCTTCTTAAGTACAAGAAAAGGGAGTCAGTTCTCTTGGAGTAGAGATTCCTCAGATTAGAGAGAGATGCAGTTGGATGTAACTGGATACTTTATCTCAAGCATAGATTTCAAGCTGAGTCATGAATATAATTGGCTTCCCATTAACTGTGTAATCAACCAATTGCTCAATAAATCAACAAATAAGACACATAAAAAAAGCCCTGTGTGGTACCAGGACATCAACAAACACAATGCATACTGATCTATGTAATGTATATGTGTTTAAGACATAATAAATTATTACTTATAATTTCTTAAATAGGAACCAATTTATTCCTTGTTGCTGCTCATGAGCTTGGCCACTCCCTGGGTCTGTTTCACTCGGCCAACCCTGAAGCGCTGATGTACCCAGTCTACAACGCCTTCACAGACCTGGCCCGGTTCCGCCTTTCTCAAGATGATGTGGATGGCATCCAATCCCTCTATGGTGGGTGATGCTGCAAAAATTGGGCATTGTGGCTTTGCAAAGTTGGTCTTCAGGGAACTTTAAAATGATACATGAATCTTTTGTGATTTAGCTCAGAAACACCTTGAGAAAGTTAAAAAAAGTTTATAAATTGACATATGTGGCACATATCTCTTAATATTTGCACACCTGAACCTGTCTTCTTTAGGACCGGCCCCTGCCTCTCCTGATAACTCTGGAGTGCCTATGGAACCTGTCCCTCCAGGATCTGGGACCCCAGTCATGTGTGATCCAGCTCTGTCCTTCGATGCAATCAGCACTCTGAGGGGAGAAATTCTGTTCTTTAAAGACAGGTCAGACCAGAAAATTATATTTTTCATGTCTGTTTTGATGTACAGTGCTTGGAAACTCGACAGATATTATTAAGCATTTAAAACAAAAACATGTCCTCTGAGCTTGAAGTCATTCAGATCTGCTACTGCCCTTCTACATTTTCCTAAAATGGTCATGTTCATTTTTGAAGATTCAGGATGATTTGCTTTTATTCTTGTGGTCTCGTGGTTGTCTCCAAATGTCCTAAGTCATGGTTACTGTTCAAAAGACACAAGCAGAGCTTTAGAATCAGAATTGTATCTTTACTTCTTAAAAATTACACCAGGACAAGTGTAATAGGTAATCAATTAATTTACTGGCTTCTGAATAAATGTTTATATGATAAACGTTCAAACTATACAAATAGGAAAAAAGTTAGCAATTTTGGTTCCCATTATCCCTATATGCATCTACCATCAAGGCATCTTAAATAGCTTTCCAAAACTGTCCTAGGAATATTTGTCTAACACATCACATGCATGTACATCTTTTTGGAAAATATAAATGATGGCATGGTTTCTGTGCATTGCAAGCAGCTTACAATGGGTGGATTAATTTGCACGGTAGGATAACTTTCCTCCACTGAAGACATTACTTTGGAACTCTAAGACAAGAGGTCCACTGTGGCATCTGAAGGAAAGGAACGATATTTTCTGAAGTGCAATGTCTGTTGTCATGCAGCCTGAAAGATGAGGAAGTTGAAGATGGGTGAAGTGGGACAGTGAAGAAAATGTACTAAAAGCGGAGGAGTTTTTCAACCCACACCTTTTTTGTACATATTTCAGGTATTTCTGGCGCAAGTCCCTCAGGATTCTCGAACCTGAGTTTCATTTGATCTCTTCATTCTGGCCATCTCTTCCTTCAGCAGTGGATGCTGCATATGAAGTTATTAGCAGGGATACTGTTTTCATTTTTAAAGGTGATTATCATGTAAATTTCTTCATTTTGCTGAAATAAACCCTCTAGCAAGAAAATTGAACAGGACTTTGCTTTTATCCAGTAAGTCAAATTTCGGTTACCTTTGTAAACAAAGATGGTGAAAAGATAACCAGGCCAGGCTTAATTATTTTATTCATATTGTACATATGGGAAGAACCCCACAGGACTATACATTGTCCAGAATTTTATTAATTTTGAAAATTCTATATTAATTTTATACTTATTTAAAAGACAGAGAGACAAAGAGAAAGACAGCTCCATCCACTGGTTGCCTCCCCACATGCCCACAACACCTGGGGCCAGGTCAGGCTGAAGCCAGGAGCAGGGAACATATCTGGGTATCCCACACGGGTGGCACAGGCGCCAGTATTTGAGCCATCACATACTACCTAGCGGGGTGCACAATAGCAGGAAGCTAGAATCCAGAGTGGAGCTGAGACACAAACCCACACGCTCTGATATAGGATGCAAGCCTCCCAAGTGACTTTTTAACTGCTGTGCTAAACACCCACCTCTGCCCAGAGTTTTAAATAATCTCATTTGATCTTTGTTAATTCATTCAATCTGCAAACTTTTGTTACCTACACACTATGAGCTGGTAAGTAAATCAAAAACGCGGGCTTTCTCTTTACCAAAAATTAAAGGTGCCAAAAATATATTTCTGAAGCCAAAAGGCTAAATTTTAATTGCTATAAATTCAATATGACTCTAGATTATTTTTTATACAGGAACTCAGTTCTGGGCCATTAGAGGAAATGAGGTACAAGCTGGTTACCCAAGAAGCATCCACACCCTGGGTTTCCCTTCAACCATAAGAAAAATTGATGCTGCCATTTCTGATAAGGAAAGGAAGAAAACATACTTCTTTGTGGAAGACAAATACTGGAGGTGAGATGCAATAGGAATGACTTTGTATGGAGTTAATTAGGAAAACTATGTTCCTTACCTAATAAACCCTCTACTCTTACCCCTCTGGCCTCTCAGTAGGAAAGGTGGGGCTTGAGATAACCGTGGGGAAGTTTAGTGTGAAAGACTGCAGCTAATTACAACAGGCATTCCCTGATGAGTTCTCCTGATCTGGGGCCCATATGCAGGTTGGCTCTTCCTTCTGCATTGTTGCCTCACCTGCCTGGATCCCCCTTCTTCCCATCCACCTGCTCAAACCCTGCCCATCCTTCAAGTCCTGGCTCAAGTCCTATGAAATCTTTCTTAATGAACTTCAAGCCCAACTGAGCTTTTCTTCCTCTGAAGGTAGACACTGCAAGAATCCAGGTCACACTTTAGTATTTCTTTCCCACTGTCTCATGCAAGTTCTCCTAGCTCTGCTCATTATCTCATGGCGTTTGGTCTTCCTAACATTGCTATATGGGACTTTCAAAGATTCCCATTACTGTCACTCTTTCATTACCTCTGCCCATTTAAAAGGGGATAAACAATAGATGTTCAATTTTATGGACATGATTCAGGATTGACAGGCAGGCTGATTCCTAGGCCATCTGCCCAGGCTTTGAGATATCAGGGTAGACCATCGGTCAATGGGTCAAAACACAGTTATTGTGCTTTGCTTCTCTTTCCAATCCCTTTTCCTAGGAGGTTGCCATAGAAATTTGGGTGAGTTGTGGAGGGGAGGTATAGATGGGATAATTATGGTAGAGAACTTGAAAATGTGTTTCAGATGAATGATTCAATTCACTTTCTGTATGTTGCTTTCACACCTTCATGCCTTTGTGACAGAAAGATGATTAACACTCTTCCTGGTCAGGCTTAGAGTTAATTAATTAGGGGCTGGCACTTCTGGCATAACAGGAAAAGCCGCCACCTATAATTCTGTCATAATATATAGGCTCTGTTTCTTGTCCCAGCTGCTCCACTTCAATCCAGCTCCCTGCTAATGGCCTGTTTAGGTCCCTGCTATCCATGTGGGAGACCTGAGCAAAGCTCCTGGCTCCTGGCTCCTGGCTTAGTTCTGGCTGTTGCGACCATCTAGGGAGTGAACGAGCAGAGGGAAGATTCTCTCTCTTTCCCTCTCCCTCTCCCTCCTCCTTCCTCTCCCTCTGTCTCCTCCTCTCTGTAGCTTTGCTTTCAAAAAAAATTAGTTTTAAAAACAGAATTGATTAATTGATCCTGCCACCTCAAGATGTTACCCCTGTTCCTAATGGAGAAAAGGTTTTTAAATAGCCAAGGATGCCATACAAATAAAATAACATATTTCTGTAGTGCTGAATATGCTTGACACTTATTTGCAGTACTTGGAAAATTTACTAGAATCCCACTCTGAATCTAACTGTGATTTACGAATTTTGGTCGTGGTGGCCTCTGTGTACTGCTGAGCTGTGTTTCTTGCACTTGGTACAGGTTTGATGAGAAGAGACAGTCCCTGGAGCCAGGCTTTCCCAGACATATAGCAGAAGACTTTCCAGGAATTAATCCAAAGATCGATGCTGTTTTTGAAGCATTTGGTAAGATGATATTTATTTTGTTGGAAATGGGTCACTTGAAAAATTCTATCATGTCACTAGTTCCCTACCAAAAATCTCAGTTCATCTATTTTTGTACCAATTATATGGGTACTTCATATAATAAGTTGTTTTGCATCATCAAGATAATTAATATGTCTATTTTATACCCGTGTATAAAACCAAAGTACTCAAGTATCCCTCCCTCACATCTGGTGACCTTTCAGATTACTGTGTTAGCATAAAAATCCCATCCAGTGGTGTGGCCAGGGTTAGTACTGGCTGCCTGGCTTTCTCCTCTATCCCGTTCTGTCACTACTATGAATTCCCAAGAAGATTGTCTGTCTGTCTTGAGTAGTCAGTGCTTGCCTAAAGTTTTAACAATAATTTTGCCCTCTACTCAAGGATAGGTGATGGGAGGTGGTGATCTTTACTGAAAGAGCACCGGGCACTGTGTTTGCAGAACAACTCAAACTTCTCTGATTTATTAAATGGCAGTTGTGCTTCTCCAGGGCCAGAAGTGCGCCTCAGGTTACACTGGAGAAAGAAGAGGAGGAGGAGGGGGGAAATTAGGGAGAAAGGAATTAACAGATGATAGTTTTCAAGCATAGAATTTTTTTGACTGGAAGTAGAATAACCTAATAACCCTGCCTTTGCTGTGAGGTAGTGCTGAGATAGAGTGATGTCTCTGTCCTTTTTTGTTGAGAAACTTTGGGCAAGTATCTGAATCTGTCTAAATCTCAATTTGCTCATCTCTATAATGGAACTAGATATACTTAGTTCACAATGTAGTTATATAAATAAATGAAAAAAACTTACAAAATGCTAAGCATTGTCCCTTAGCACAATGTAAAACTCTATAAACATTTTGTTTTTAATTTTAGTTACCTATTTTTCTGAGCTTTGTATGTTGCCAGATTTCTTTATTTGAAAAAAAAAAACTCACTATTTCCTTTGTACACCCTTGCAGGGTTTTTCTATTTCTTCAGTGGATCTTCACAGTCGGAGTTTGACCCAAATGCAAAGAAAGTGACACATGTTTTGAAGAGCAACAGCTGGTTTCAGTGTTAGGAGGGGTGTATAGAAGGCACAACATGAATGTTTTAAATGAACCTAATTGTTCAACACTTAGGACTTTGTGAGTTGAAGTGGCTCATTTTCTCCTGCATATGCTGTGATGGCAATCTCGAGCATGAACTGTGTATCTAACTGGACTTTGCACATCGTTACGGGTGTTCAAACAGGCTGCTGCTTAGCTTGCACTTGATCACATGGAGGGAGCTTCCACGAGATGGGAGAAGTACTCATGTGTGACAGACAAGTGATTGTGTCTATGTGGATTATTTGCCCATTATTTAATAAAGAGGATTTGTCAATTATTTTATGTTAGTGTTTGGTGTGGTTGTTTCAGGAACAAGACATTCTCACAAGCTCGGCACACCAGGGACTGAGCAATAGGAAGCCTGAGGTGCTTGGCAGTAGAGGCCCAGGGTCATGATCTCCATGGCTGGGACCTCACACTGGACTCATCTAGAAAAAAAGAGAATGCCACCTGCCCTCTCTGTGCACAGACAGGCTGCTTGTTTCTACCACCCAGACGTGTGTGTTCTGACATACCTAAGACAAAGATGGGAGGGGCTTGTCCTGTTGATGGGCAGGCCCTAGGAACAATCATGAAGTGAACCCTACAATCAGAAAAGCACCTAACTCCTACAGCTCAGTTTACAGAGTGGGGAATAAAACTTGTTCTTCATCTTTCCCCTTTGCTTACATATTCCTCCAGTAGGACCCTCTTCCATGCCTTGGCAAACAAATGTCCCCTTGTCCCCACAGAAATACCTCTAGTATGCACTGTGTACCTGTCCATGCTCACTTGTAAAGGATCATTGCCAATGACAGTTCCACAACAGGTCTGTTGTCCATAAGCAACACTTCTATTGCACAATGCCTGGTACATGGTAAGAGTCCACTCACTCTTCAACTCAACCATTCATTTGAGGCAACTTATTAATCACCTTCTATTGCCAGGCCCTCTGCTAGGCTATAGGAAGAGGAGTTTGCTTTTAAAAAAATGGAATAGTTCCTGCCCTCATTGAGATTATAATCCAGCAAAAAATAATATATGCAAATAATCACAAATATGAATATGCAATTGTAAATATGATAAGAATTGAAAAAGTATACTTTGATGGACTAATTGGAGGATCTACTTTGAGCTACACGGTTTTAGAAGAAATTTTGAGGGAATGATATCAGAGAAGGAGTTTTCTTAAGATTTATTTATTTGAAAGGCAGAGTGAACTAGGGAGAGATAGAGAAATCTTCCATGTGCTGGTTCACTCTCCAAATGACTACAAAAGCCAAGGCTGGTCCAGTCCAAAGGCAGAACCCAGGAACTCCGTCTGGATCTCCACAGGAGCCCAAATATTGAACCATCATCTGCTGCTCCCTGGCACATTAGCAGGAAGCTGGATCAGAAGCAGCGGTGGGACTCAAGCCAGGCAAGCATCCCAAACAGTGATTTCACCTGCGACACCACAAAACCCACCCATCTTTCTTTTCCTTTTTTAAGGTACATTTACTTTAATATCAAGATGTAATACTGTAAGTCAGAAGTTCAGCTGCTGGGAGACTAGGTCTGGATTCAGCCAGGACAAAGAGTAATTCAGAGCCTTTTGCAGATTCATACCTTTTCACTTCTCAGCAGTAGCAAAAACACACAGGAATGCCTTCACTTGCTTGTGGCATTCGGGCTACAAAAGAGGTCCAAGTGTAGCCATGCCCCTCAGCTTCTTATAGGAGCCAACAGCCAATAATAGCATATAGCCTAGCACTGTAAAATGGAACTATGTCAGTTCCGGGTCTGCTGGTTGCCACAGAAAAACAGAAATAAGGGATAGAGGCAAGAGAACTTAATAAGCTCACTTTCCTAACAAATACAAAAACCCAAATACAATGAAGGCACACATTTGCACATTAAAATCAACAAAAATGCTTTTTTTAAAAAATCATGTACCCACTCAATGGAATAGGAATTTAATGAAATTCACTATTGAAAAAAGCATGTACTAAGTCTCATCACAGCCAATATCCTTGTACCATTCAGTTGTGAAATGTATGCTTATAATACTCCAAGCAGTTTAAACCTGACACATGATACCACACCGTCTTATTCTTTATACAGTCCTCAGTAAAATTATCTACAATTTTAACAGCCATTTGAAGTACAAATCATTTCTTAGCACCACGTTGGTTTAGGAAAAAGCATATTTGGGGCTAGGAGTCTGCCACTCTAGAGTAACCACTCTAATACACACTGTCTCCCTCTACCAGCTCTCTTCTCTGGTGTATTAACTGTTTAGCAGGGCTGGTATTGTGGCATAGGAGGTAAGCCATCACCTGTGATGCCAATATCCCATATGGGCACTGGTTCGAGACTCTGCTTCCATTCTTGCTCCTGGCTTATGGCCTGGGAAAAGCAGCAGAAGGTGGCCCAAGTGTTTGGGCCCCAGAACCCACACTCCTCAATTTGGCCTGGCCCATTCCCAGCTGCTGTAGCCATTTGGGGAGTGAGCCAGTGGATGGAAGATTCCTCTCTTTCTGTGTCTTCCTCTTTCTTTGTAATTCTGCCTTTAAAATAAATAAACACATATTTGATAAATACGTCTTATTATAAAAAATACAATGATTTAAGACAATAAAAAATCCCCAAACCAAATGGTTGAATATATGCATTATGTGTGCTGGTAACTATTATTTGATTCTCTCATATCTATTAAAAGTTTATTCTTAGCAAATAAACTCTTTAAAGGCAGAATTCACTTTGTTTGAGTAAAACAAAACAAAACTAAGCAATTCAATATCAGTCTTACTGATAAACAATATCTCTAAGTCACTACACTCAGTGTTAAGAACAATGTAAATTACAGGGGCTGGAACTGTGGTGCAGAGGGTAAGCCACTTGGGTCCCTGCCAACCATATGGGAGACCAAGTTGGAGTTCTAGCTCCTGTCTTCCGCCTGAACCAGCAAACCTGTGAAAGGAAGATTTCTCTTTCTCTCTCTCTCTCTTTCTCATGCACACTCTTCCTTTCAAATCAATAAATCTTTTTTTAAAAAGAACAATACATGTTTTTACATTTTACTGGGAATATACACGTTCAATCTTTGTCTTAAAACTTCTAAGTTTCCAATCCTCCAAATTATCCAAAGGCACCGAGTACCAGAGATTTAAGATTTCTGTTTCTCTCCCTATCTTCTTTGAATAGAACATTTAACAACTCATGTTTTAGACACAGAATTATTTGGAAGTGGCCACTTCTTTGGAATATTCTGATCTTTTTTTTTTTTTTTTGGGTATTTATTTCTTTATTTAAAATTTTTTTTTTTATCTTTTATTTAATGAATATAAATTTCCAAAGTACGACTCATGGGTTACAATGGCTTCCCCCCCCATACCGTCCCTCCCACCAACAACCCTCCCCTTTCCCACTCCCTCTCCCCTTCCATTCACATCAAGATTCATTTCGATTATCTTAATATACAGAAGATCAGCTTAGTATACCTGAAGCTACTTTCAACGGATGTGGGTCCTCACACTAGAAAACATCAAAGTGAAAACATAA